GTAGCTGGAACCACAGGCACGCAACACCATGCCCTGGCTAATTTATCATTTTTTAAAATTTTATTTAATTAATTTTTTTTTAAGATGGAGTCTCCTCTGTTGCCCAGGCTGGAGTGCAGTGGTGTGATCTGGGCTCACTGCAACCTCTGCCTCCCGGGTTCAAGCGATTCTCCTGCCTCAGCCTCTCGAGCAGCTGGAATACAGGCACATGCCACCAGGCCCAGCTAACTTTTGTATTTTAGTAGAGACAGGGTTTTACCATGTTGGCTTGGCTGCTCTCAAACTCCTGATCTCAAGTGATCCGCCTGCCTCAGCCTCCCAAAGTGCTGGGATTACAGGCGTGTGCCACCGTGCCTGGCACCCCCGCCAATTTTTTTTTTTTTTTTTTTTGAGACGGAGTCTGGCTCTGTCACCCAGGCTGGAGTGCAGTGGCGCGATCTCGGCTCACTGCAAGCTCCGCCTCCCGGGTTCACGCCATTCTCCTGCCTCAGCCTCCCGAGTAGCTGGGACTACAGGCGCCCGCCACCTCGCCTGGCTAGTTTTTTGTATTTTTTAGTAGAGACGGGGTTTCACCGTGTTAGCCAGGATGGTCTCGATCTCCTGACCTCGTGATCCGCCCGTCTCAGCCTCCCAAAGTGCTGGGATTACAGGCTTGAGCCACCGCGCCCGGCAATTTTTTTTTTTTTTTGAGACGGAGTTTTCACTCTTGTTGCTCAGGCTGGCTGGAGTACAATGGCCCGGTCTTGGCTCACTGCAACCTCCACCTCCTGGGTTCAAGCGATTCTCCTGCCTCAGCCTCCTGAGTAGCTGTGATTATAGGCATGTGCCGCCACATCTGGCTAATTTTGTATTTTTAGTAGAGATAGGGTTTCTCCATGTTGGTCAGGCTGGTCTCGAACTCCCGACAGAGTCTCACCCTGTCGCCCGACTATTTTTTTGGTATTTTTAGTACAGATGGGGTTTCACTGTGTTAGCCATGATGGTCTTGATCTGACCTCGCGATCTGCCCGCCTCGGCCTCCCAAAGTGCTGGGATTACAGGTATGAACCACTGCGCCCGGCCTGTGTCTGGCTTCTTTTACTTTTTCAAGGTTCCTCCTTGACTGTGATTGCTTCATTCCTTTTCACAGTTGAGTAATATTCCATCCTGTGAACGTGTCGCACTTTGATTCATCAGTGGATGCATAATTTGTTTTTTTCCTCTTTGGGGCTATTGTAAATGCTGCTGCCATGAGCATCTGTGTGCAGGCTTCTATGGGGACATTTTCAGTGCTCTTGAGTACGTACCTAGGAGCGGAACTGCGGTCACACGCTAATGCTCCTTTCAGAGGTTCCGTTTGCCGAAGTGGCTGCATCTTACATTCCCAGTAGCAGTGGATGAGGGTCTCATTTCTTGACATCCTCTCCAACATTGCTTTATTTTTGTTTCAGTATAGCCATCATAATGGGTGTAGTGTGGCATCTCATGGTTTTTATATTTTATTTTTGAGACGGTGTCTTTTTCTGTTGCCAGGCTGGAGTACGGTGTGGCATGATCTCGGCTCACTGCAACCTCCGCCTCTCGGGTTCAAGCAGTTCTCCCGCTTCAGCCTCCCGAGTAGCTGGGATTACAGGTGCTATCACCACACCCAGCTAATTTTTTATATTTTTGGTAGAGACACAGTTTCATCATGTTGTCTGGTCTCGAACTCCTGACCTCAAGCGATCCACCCACCTCGGCCTCCCAAAGTGCTAGGATTACAGGCGTGATTCACTGTGCCCAGCCTGGCCCTTTATCTTCTTCGGAGGAACATCTATTCTAGTTCTTTGCCCATTTTTAAATTGGGTTGTCTTTTTGTTGAGGTTTTCTCGTTTTTTGTTTGTTTGTTTTTGAGACAGGGTCCAGGCTGGAGTGCAGAGGCATAATCTCGGCTCACTGCAACCTCTGCCTTCTGGGTTCAAGCAATTCTCCTGCCTCAGCCTCCAAGCAGCTGGAAGTATAGGTGCCCACCAACACGCCCAGCTAATTTTTGTATTTTTAGTAGAGACAGGGTTTCACCATGTTGGCCAGGATGGTCTCAATCTCCTGACCTCAGGTGATCCGCCCACCTTGGCCTCACAAAGTGCTGGGACTATAGGCATAGGCCACTGCACCCAACCTATTGCTGAGTTCTAAGGGTTCTTTATATATTCTGGATACTAGATCCTTATCAGGAATGCGATTTGAAAATATTTTCTCCCATCCTCATCCTCAGAATCCTTTCAAGGAGAAGCATCCAAGGCTCAGGCACCCACCCCAACTCCTGCACTCATAGGCAGTGTGAGTACAGAGTCTCAAATGTGGAACCAGGCCAGGCACAGTGGCTCATGCCTGTAATCCCAGCACTTTGGTAGGCCGAGGCGGGAGGATCACCTGAGGTTAGGAGTTCAAGACCAGCCTGGCCAACACGGTGAAATCCTGTTTCTACGAAAAATACAAAAATTAGCTGGGCGTGGTGGTGGGTGTCTGTAGTCTCAGCTACTCAGGAGGCTGAGGAAGGAGAATCGCTTGAACCCGGAAGGTGGAGGTTGCAATGAGCCGTGATCGCGCCACTGCGCTCCAGCCTGAGCGACAGAGCGAGGTTCTGTCTCAAGAACAATCAACCAATCAAATGTGGAACCAAACAAGTTTGGGGTCCAGCTACGCTGGGGTCTTCTAGGGAGGCCTCAGTACCCTTTTTTCCCCGGACCACGTTACCATTAGGCATAGTGCCCTGGGCCCACACTGTTTATAAGAGCCCACATACATTCTTTTTTTTTTTTTGAGACGAAGTCTCGCTCTGTCGCCCAGGCTGGAGTGCAGTGGCCGGATCTCAGCTCACTGCAAGCTCCGCCTCCCGGGTTCACACCATTCTCCTGCCTCAGCCTCCCGAGTAGCTGGGACTACAGGCGCCTGCCACCACGCCCGGCTAATTTTTTGCATCTTTTAGTAGAGATGGGGTTTCACCGTGTTAGCTAGGATAGTCTCGATCTCCTGACCTCGTGATCCACCCGCCTCAGCCTCCCAAAGTGCTGGGATTACAGGCGTGAGCCACCTCGCCCGGCCGAGCCCACATACATTTTTAATTTCTGTTAAAATCAGAAGGGAGAAAAATGAACCTTTAGGTGAGAGAAAATCCTCTAGTATACATTAATATATTCATCTTTATACCAACATGTTGTAAAATAGATTTTTTAACAGAGAAAGGGGCTCGCCAAGGCCAAAGTGCCTCTGCTTCCCACAGCCAGGAATGAGGTGGCCCTGCCGTCCCTCTCTGGTCCCAGGCCCAAACTCCTCCTCCCGGACAGGCAGCACGATCTTGACTGGGGATATCTGATCCAAATTCCAAGAGGGTCAACAATTAGAACTTTTACAATGGTGTCAGATCAACCCTGGCCTGGATTCCACCTACCTAGCCAAGCATTCAATCTGTGTCTTTTTATTATTGTTATTTTACAGATGGGATCTTGCTCTGCTGCCCTGGCTGCAGTGCAGTGGTGCAATCAGAGCTCAATGCAGCCTTGAACTCCTGGGCTCAAGCGATCCTCCCAACTCAGCCTTCCGACAGCTGGGACTACAGGCAGGTGCCAGCATGCCCGGCTTATTTTTTTTTTGAGACGGAGTCTCGCTCTGTGGCTCAGGCTGGAGTGCAGTGGCATGATCTTGGCTCACTGCAACCTCCACCTGCTGGGTTCAAACGATTCTCCTGCCTCAGCCTCCTGAGTAGCTGGGATTACAGGAGCACGCCACCACGCCTAATTTTTGTATTTTTAGTAGAGACAGTGTTTTGCCATGTTGGCCAGGCGGGTCTCAAATTCCTGACCTCAGGTGATCCACCTGTCTCGGCCTCCCAAACTGCTAGGATTAGAAGCATGAGCCACGGCACCTGGCCTAACCTTTCTTTAGAGATGAGGTCTTGCAATTTTGCTCAGGCTGGTCTCAAACTTTTGGACTAAAGTGAGCCTCCTGTCTTGACCTCCTGAGCAGCTGGGATAACAGGCATGCGTCACCATCCCTGGTTCAAGTCATTGCACCTTTGAACCTGCGTCCACATCAGTAAAACAGACAGCAGCTCCAATCCTAAGTGAATGGCATTTTGTGAACCACAACCCCAGGGCCACAAAGGTGACAGCTGGTGCTCTGGGGTGACAGCCCCTGGCACAGCAGGGTGATCAGTGTGGGGCATGTGGAGGCGGCATAGTCCAGTACCATAGGCTTCCCCACGCCTCGCTGTGGCCTGTTCTTCAGTAATTAAATGGGAGCCGATGAGCACATGGGACCTCCTCCTGCTCTGATGCAGGAAGTGTGGGGGGGCACGCGTGCACACACACACACACACATGCACACACATGTACGCATGCACACACCCAGGACCTGCTGACTTTGGCTATAGAGCATTTATTGCAAACAAAATTGAGGTAAAAGAAGCTGACCCAGAACCCACGCCCGTCCAGGCTGGGGAAGTCTCTAGTTGCCCCACACCAGGCCCCGAGCACCGCAGGCCCGAAGCAGCCCCCAGAGGACAGACGGGCCCTGCGCACTGAGGTAGCTGCATCTTAAGCCCCCATGAGTACAACTGCCCAGGGCTGCCCAATTCCTGGAGGGGAGGAAGGAGAGGCAGGCAGGGGGAGCCCCGGCTTCAGGTGGGGCACACCCCACACCCCCAACAAACCTCCCAGCCTCTCGGGCTGGGCACTTCCTGCCTGGCCACCCAGCCAGCCATGGGGCAGCGGGGTGGCCACCAGAGGCGGCTGTGCTGGGGCACAAGGTCACTGCTGCTCCAGACAGTCCTCGGTCACCCCCTGGGCGGCCAGCTCAGCCAGCACGTTCTGCAGGTAGTTGGGGTCGGGGTAGCCATGGCCTGTAACGTTGCGGTCCATCTCTGTCTTGTGGTGGATCTCGTTCCACACCACAGTGTCCGTCTCACCTGTGGTGCTGGACGTGCCCACTGTAAAGATGAGCCGCCTCTTCCAGGCTACCTTCAGGAGCTCTAGGACCTGCCCGGGGAGGAGGAGGGGGAAGAGGAAGCAGGGAACGGGAAGTGAGAGGGGCTCAGTGAGCAGGCACAGGCTGGCACCATGTTCTTCCCATCCCAGCCCCTCCCGGGTGACCTCATCCACTCCCTGGCACTCACCCCATCTGCAGGGAACCCAAAACTGCCCACTGGACAGTACATTAGGATCCCACAGAAGCCTGGGCTCCAGCCCACCCTGCCTCGGTGCCGGCCACTGCCATCGTTTGGTCCTGATGCCCAGGCACCATGCTCGAGTCCTCCCTGCTTCCAGAGCCGGTGCTGGACGAGCGCCTGCCCGTCCACCCTCCCTGGTGGAATCCAGGCCTCCCTGCCCTCTCCTCACCTCCAGCTCCGCCACCTCGAGCCCATTCTCACACGGCCAGAGGAGCTTTTCCAAAGCTCCATCAGCAGCTCCACCTCCGTGGCTTCCCTGGGCGCTCAGAACCAGCTCTACCCCTGGGGCTGGCCTGGGGGATGGCCCTGCCTTCACGCCCTCACCACGGGCTCCCACCCTCCTCGACAGCTGTCCTGCCTGCCTGGAAGGCTCATCCCCAGCCTTCTCTGCAGTCGCAAAGTCCCTATTCAGGTCTCAGGGCAGACACGACTGCTCCAGCCTTCCTTGGTCACCGGGTCTAACACAGCCCCCGGTCCCTCCCTGTCACACTCTGATTCTCAGGAGCTCCTGACCCCACCCAGCAGGGTGCTGGAAGGCGATGGCCTCTCCTCCTCCCTCGAGGCTCTGTGAGGTCCAGGCTGCCCTCCCTGTACCTACAGCAGGTCCCCAGAAAAGAGCAGCAGACACCCAGCCCAGCCTCAGCCTCTGTCCTCCACTGCAGTAGTAGAGCCCAGTGTGGCGTCTGGCCTCCCGCTGCGTGGTCAGGGCCCTGTTCACCCCTGGGGCGCGTAGTGGCACTTACCTTGCGGCCCTGGGCATTGTCTGGAAGGTAGCACTGGCGGGGAAACCCTCTGGCAGTGAACGGCTTTCCGGGATTGGGGTGCTCAGGGCCCTGCAGGAGGAACAGACACCAGGATAGGGTGCTCCAAGAGCCTGCACAGGGACAGGCCCCTGCACTGCTCCAGCCTCTCCCCGGTTCCGAGATGCCAACCCCGAATGTTCCTAATTTCCCTGTGAGCTGCGGGGAAGTGGAGGGAAACCAGGGGAAAGGCTCACGGTTCAATAAGACAAAAAGACCACTCCATCCACCACAGGTGGACCTTGACTGGTACCCGCTGCCCCGTTATCTTCCCACCCTGCCCCAGACCCTGCCATCCACCCTCTGCCCAAGACGGGAGACTGAAAGGGCCAGGGCCCGTCTGGTTCTCCTCAGGGATGCTGGGCCTTATGCCTGGGCTCCTGACACCCACACACCTGGCCCCGCCACTCCCAACCCAAGGTTCCTCGATGCACACCCTGCTGTGGCCCTGCTTCTCCAGCCCCTCTGCAGGGTTCCTCCCACTGAACTGCCTGCCCTTCTGTCCAGAACAAGTCTAGCTAAGATGGCTCCTCCTCCAGGAAGGCTTCCCTGGTTCGGGAAAGAGTGGAGGGCCAGCTCTCTGCTGCCACAGCCCTAAGAGCTTGCCCCAAGTCCCGGCACTGCCTCTCCATTCCTGGCCCTCCATGGCCCTGGCCTTAGGGGACCTGGGGGCCTGAGCTTGGCCACATGGGCATCCTCAGCCTTGATCCAGGGGCAGACTGCTGGGACGTGGGTGGGGGGGGGAAGAGGACTGGCCGGGAGTGGGGACTCCAGGAAGGCCCCTCACCTGGATGCCATGGGGAATGTTGTAAACTATGAGGATGGTCCCGCAGTCCTCGTGGCCAGGGAGCGACATCTGGAACCGTAATACCTCCATCTTTCCCTGGGGCTGGGTCCCTGTCTTCTCTCCATAGATGGTTTTGCAGGAGGGACACTGCAGACTTCCATCCTGAGAGAGGCAGATGCGACCCACTGAGCTGGCTGGCTGAGAGCACCCAAGACCGTCACCTCCACCGTCAGATGGTAAAAGGCCCCGGGAACGGGCCAGCCGCCATCCCAGGGAGTTGCTGGCAGCCTCCCGCCCGGAAACTGGCTTCCAACAGCTTCCCTGGAAAGCTTTGTTTTGCACCAGCAACTCATTATGCCGTTTTCGTTAAAGGAGCATGCTATCAGGAGACAGGTGGTGAGTGGGAAAACTCAGATCCTGAGCAGAAGTCTCCACGGGTGAAGCGCATTTGAAGTCTGACAGACAGCCTTGCAGCGCCTGATCTGTGGAGCTGGGCCCTGGCTGCCCAGGACGGCAGACACTAGGGAAGGCCAAGCCAGGCTCTGACGCGCCACATGACTTGGTTCTCTAAGCCTCCAAACTCTGCCCATCCTGCCTGAAGGCCGCTGCAGAGACAGCAGCCAGGGATCGGCTTGGGCGTGGCTCTTCACGTGTAGGCTGCCGTGGGACCCAGGGTCAGCCCTGCCTCGTGGCCTGGCTCCCACCACCCAGTAGGGCAACCCTGCTCTGCGCCTCTCCCTCATGGGCACTGTGCTGACCGCACAGGGTCGCTGTAAGGAAGAAGGGAGACAGCGTGTGCAGCGCTGACAAGTGGCCGAGGGGGAGGCGGTGCCCTGAGGCTTGGAGAAGCCCACAATCTCCTCAGGCCTGGTTGGAGGGGTGGAGGGAACCAGCCCCATTGGTCCCCCTTTCTAAAGCGTGGGGCAGGCCTAGGAGAGTAGGGCAGGCCTGGGAGAGCCGGCCAGGCCTTTAGAAAGGTCTTCAAGCTGGCCCCACGCCCGGCACCATCTTTTGCAGAGGCCCGTCCCCGCAGCCACCCCCAGAACCCTCCCGCCTCTGCAGGTGTGGACAGCTCAGGACTGTGGGGGCAGGCCACCTGCCTCCACCCCGGGCCAGTGGTGGCACCTTGTTGCCATTGCAGTACATGGCCAGCAGGCACAGCAGGTGGAAGGCGTGACTGCACTTGGTGAGGCGGCCCACAGCCAGGGGCCCGATGGCCTTGCTGTCAGTCACGTCGCTGTACCCAGATGCTGCGGACAGCTTCTCCATGCAGATGATGCAGTCCTGGAGGAGACCAAACACAGGTCATGCTCGCCAACAGTGGGCTGGGCTGACGAGGGCCAGTCTTGGAAAAAGAGGCTTTCACGTGCTGAAATGCTGGAAGTGTGGTCAAAGTCAATTCCAAGACCAGGCTCAGTGGCTCAGTGGCTCAGCCCTGTAATTCCAGCACTCTGGGAGGCCGATCACCTGAGGTCAGGAATGTGAGGCCAGCCTGGCCAACATGGGAAAACTCCATGTCTACTAAGAATACAAAAATTAGCCAGGCGTGTTGGTGGGCGCCTATAATCCCAGCTACTCGGGAGGCTGAGGCAAGAAAATTGCTTGAACTCAGGGGGCAGAGGTTGCAGAGCTGAGACTGTGCCACTGCACTCCAGCCTGGGCGACAGAGTAAGACTCCATCTCAGGAAAAAAAAAAAATCGTCCATTCCACAGGCTGGAAAGACAGGTGAGTCACCGGGACCTGTGCCCTTAAAGAGCTTAACAGCAGCACAGGCCTGACATGACAGCAGGAGCCACCAAATGGGGAGGATGGACAGGGCAGGATCCTGGGGGAGGCCCTCGGAGTGGGGTCGTACAAGGGAGACAGGAATTGCCAGATGGACAAGCACGGAGCGGGCACCTGGGAAGAGGGAGGAGGATGTTTTGAACGAGGAGCCAGCACATGGGCACTAAAGCTGGCAGGGGGGGAGCGGGGAGCAGGAGATGAGACAGGATCAGGGAGAGGCGGGCCCTCGGGGTTCTGGCTGCCACACTCAGGGGCTGGGGCTGTGTGCGAGTTGGGGATCCTGCTGGGGGTTCCAGGCAGGGAGTGCTCCCATGATCTGAGCTACGTGCTGGCTGTGCAGACGGCAGCTTGGAGAGGAGGAGCCTGGGGTGAAACGGCCCAGTCATACCAGATGGGCACCAGAGCGGAGACAGAGCTAAGCACTGGGCAGGAGGGAATGCGGCAAGGGCTTGTTGAAGGGGTGGGACGCATGAGGAGGACTTTGAGGCTCCTGTCCAAAGCTTTACTTACCAGATTTTTTTCGTGGACTCAACTGACTGGAGAGAGACATAAGTGAAGAGTCCCTGGGTACTGGGGCTCCTGGCCTTTCACCCGTTCCCCAGTATCTGAAGGTCTCTGGGTACTGGTACTCCTGGCCATTCACCCTACCCCCCCAACAGTATCTCCAGGGTTCCCCACTAAAATCGGGGGAAAGGGGTGCCGCAGCCCCCAAAACGTGGCTCAGCAGAGGTTCAGGTTCTATGGAAGAGCAACAGGAGTCTGACTGGTCCCATTCATTACAGGAGGCCAGGAGGACAGGGCTGCAGTGAGCTGTGATCACACCACTGCACTGAGCCTGGGCGACAGTACGTGCCCCTGTCTTTAAGAATAAAAAAATTATAGGAACCTTAACCAGCTCTCCCAACAGCTGGAGGGGCAGGGCAGCCACCTGGACGAGGCCACCTCACTTCTACACCAGCATCCGCACGGCGGAGAGTGGGGCAGGCTGGCCCATCCCTTGTCTCCGGGATTCCTGCTCCCAGGACGGCCATCAGGCTACAGAGAGGCCAGGGCCGGGAGAGGAGGGACTTTGCTCAGGACCACAGCTCCTTAAGTGCAAAGCTCAGATCATAACGATATGGGTCTCAGGAGGCTGGGAGATGAAACCAAAGGGGCTGGAGCAAGGTCCTGGCACTCAGAGGCACCTGGGAAGCACCCTTCAAGCGAGAAGGGGCAGATGTCCTTTCTATCTGGAGTTGTCTGCAAACAGAAACAAAGGCAGCCCAGCTCCCAAGACACAAACCTCATCTGGGGGCACTTGCAGCTCTTCCGTGTAGTTTTTTATGACCTGCTCTGGCTGTGGCTCTGGCTTCGGGGTCCCTCCTAGAAGAGAGAAGTACATAAGCAGCATCCTGAGGAACACAGGCTGGAGAGGAGGCCAGAGGGCGACGAAGGCAAAGGAAAGGTCCAAGCTGCCAGGAGGAAATGCGAGAGGGTCCCAGACAGGGAGGCCAGTGTGCAGGACGGGAGAGCTCAGCGCCAGGTACAGAGCCCCGAGCTCCGCCGGGCAAAGCCTTACCCAGTCCCACCGTCCAGGGACCTGGCTCAGCCGCAGGAGCCCTAGAGGATGCAGAAGAGCAGAAACAGCAGCACAGTCTCCTGGGAGCTGCAACCCCACGCACATTCAGTGAGGAAATCGACACAGGCGCTACTGAGGCTGCGCGAAAGTCAGACAGCAGCTTCGGCACAAACTACTCCAGGGGGCGTTGCGGCAGCACGATTTGATTCAACTCGCATTACCCTGGCATGAACATCGCGGGGAGAAGGGAGTCTGGGGCCCAGCACGTACGGGCAGCTGCACACACGCCGACTGCTGCACCGATACTGTTCCGGGAAACGCCTGCCACTGACTGGGAGGGTCTGTCACGTGCCGATTAGCTCCTAAGTCCAGCCACTCTGGGGAGGGGCCGAGTCTTGGCAGGAGCCCACCCTGACGGCCTCACTCCCGTCTGTGCACACGTGCACGAAGCAGGAGGGAGAAGGGCTGCATCTCCATAAACACCAAACCCCGCATCCAGTAAAGTCCCTCCTACAGACAGGAAGCTCCCCCAGCTGGTGAGGATCGGCTCGGCCCGGGGTGTTCTCTAGGTAGCGGGGGTGGCAGAACCACAGAGGCCAGCAGCCAAGCCCGTGCGGGGGTAAAAGAGGAACGGGGAGCCCAGTGCCGCCCGTGGAGGCGCTCCTGTGAGGGGCTCCACCCCAAGGTCATGGTGGGGCTGCTGGTGGTTCCAGACTCCAGGACCAGAGGGGCTCTGGTTTGAACCCGAGCTCATGGCCATCATCAGGGGCTGCAGAGAATTCTAAGCCTGAGGGCTCACAGCTGCACCTGCCGAACTCCCCCTACACCAAAAAGGGCCAGGGAGGGGACAGTTTGGCAGGGAGGTGCCCTGGTGGGGTGGAGGCTGGAGTCAGCACGGTTTGATTCTGGTTCTCTTGCTGTGACCGAATCATGTCACCTCTGAGCCTCGGTTCCCTGATCTCAAACGGGAAAGACGAATATGTAACTAAGCTGGAATTGCTGTGATGGCATTCGCTGCTGTGCCCTAGAGGGAAGCTGCTGGCAAGACCATACCCACCAACACCCGTCCACACGCCCCACACCTCCACTCACACCCCCTACTCCTACAGACCCCACACCTACACACACACCCACACCCCAATCCACACCCACACTCCCCATACATACACCCCACAACTCCACCCACACCCCCACATAACCCACACCCCCACACCCCACAACTTCACCCACACCCCCCAACCCCCGTCCACACACCCCACACCTCCACTCACATCCTCCACTCCTACAGACCCCACACCTACACACACCCACACACCCCAATCCACACCCATACACCCCACACACACACACCCAACTCCACCCACACCCCCACATAACCCACACCTCCACACACCCCTCCCAACTCCACCCACACCCCCCACACTTCCACATAACCCACACCTCCACACCCCACAACTTCACCCACACCCAACCCCCGTCCACATACCCCACACCTCCACTCACATCCCCCACTCCCCACACACACACCCCACAACTCCACCCACACCCCCCCCACATAACCCACACCTCCACACCCCCAACTCCACACATATCCCCCATACCCCCACATAACCCATACCTCTACACATCCCACACACACACCCCACAACTCCACCCACACCCCCCACACCCCCACATAACCCACACCGCCACACACCCCAAACCTCCACACACACACCTCCACACATCCCACACCTCCACACACCCCACACACTTCCACACCCCCCCCACACACTTCCACACCCCCCCACACACCTCCACATATCCCCACACCCCTCCACATATCCCCACACCCCTCCACATATCCCCACACCCCTCCACATATCCCCACACCCCACATACCTCCACACATCCCACACTTCCACACATCCCACACCTCCACACACCCCACACCTCCACACACCCCTCCATACACCCCACACCTCCACACACGTCACACACCGCACACCTCCACACACCCATCTCCACACACCTCACACACCTCCACACACCCCATACACTCCACATACCTCCACACACCTCTCCATACACCCCACACCTCCACACACTTCACACACCCTACACCTCAAGCACCCCACATACCTCCACACACCCCACCCCTCCACACAGCCCACACCTCCACACACCTCCACACACCCCACACCTCCACACACCTCCACACACCCCACACACCCACCTCCACACACCCCACACACCTCCACACCTCCACACCTCCACACACCCCACACCTCCACATACCCCACACCTCCACACACCTCCACACACCCCACACCTCCACACACCTCCACACACCTCCACACACCCCACACCTCCACACACCCCACACCTCCACACACCTCCACACACCTCCACACACCCCACACCTCCACACACCTCCACACACCTCCACACACCCCCACACCTCCACACACCCCACACCTCCACACACCCCACACCTCCACATACCTCCACACACCCCACACCTCCACACACCTCCACACACCCCACACCTCCACACACCCCACACCTCCACACACCTCCACACACCTCCACACACCCCACACCTCCACACACCCCACACCTCCACACACCTCCACACACCCCACACCTCCACACACCTCCACACACCCCACACCACACACCTCCACACACCTCCACACACCCCACACCTCCACACACCCCACACCTCCACATACCTCCACACACCCCACACACCTCCACACACCCCACACCTCCACACACCTCCACACACCCCACACCTCCACATACCTCCACACACCCCACACACCTCCACACACCCCACACCTCCACACACCCCACACCTCCACACACCTCCACACACCCCACACCTCCACACACCTCCACACACCTCCACACACCTCCACACACCCCACACCTCCACACACCCCACACCTCCACACACCCACCTCCACACACTTCCACATACCCCATACCTCCACACACTTCCACACACCCCACACCTCCACACACCTCCACTCACCCCACACCTCCACACACTTCCACACAGCCCACACACCTCCACACACCCCACACCTCCCCACACCTCCACACACCTCCACACACCCCACACCTCCACACACCTCCACTCACCCCACACCTCCACACACTTCCACACACCCCACACCTCCACACACCTCCACACACCCCACACCTCCACATACCTCCACACACCCCACACACCTCCACGCCCCACCCACACTTCCACACACCTCACACCTCCACACACCTCCACACACCCCACACCTCCACACACTTCCACACACCCCACACCTCCACACACCTCCACACACCCCACACCTCCACACACCCCACACCTCCACACACCTCCACACACCCCACACCTCCACACACCTCCACACACCCCCCACCTCCACACACCCCACACCTCCACATACCTCCACACACCCCACACACCTCCACACACCCCACACCTCCACACACCCCACACCTCCACACACCTCCACACACCTCCACACCCCACACCTCCACACACCCCACACCTCCACATACCTCCACACACCCCACACACCTCCACACACCCCACACCTCTACACACCCCACACCTCCACACACCCCACACCTCCACACACCTCCACACACCTCCACACACCTCCACACACCCCACACCTCCACACACCCCACACCTCCACACACTTCCACATACCCCATACCTCCACACACTTCCACACACCCCACACCTCCACACACCTCCACTCACCCCACACCTCCACACACTTCCACACACCCCACACCTCCACACACCTCCACACACCCCACACACCTCCATGCCCCACCCACACTTCCACACACCTCACACCTCCACACACCCCACACAACCCCAAACTTCTACACACCCCACACCTCAAACACCCCACATACCTCCACACATCCCACCCCTCCACACACCCATACAGACTGCCCGAACCCACACTCCAGTCACTGTGGCGAGAACGCCAGACCAGAACGATGGTTCCCCGGCTCAGGGTGGCCCTCCGTGTGGCTGGAACGCCCTACTCAAGCCGAGGGGGGCCTTTTCCTTTAGAAAAGCCTGCCAATTCCAGAGCCATCTCCGGGTGAGCCTGGGGTGAGGCCAGGCACAGCATCCCACCCCCGCCCACCCACCCCAGCCCTCGCAGCTTTTCAGAATGGAAGGGAGCTTTCCATTAGCCACATGTCTCAAAAGGGGCCAGCCAGGTGACCCGCCAAGAACCTGTCCTTCCCAGGTAAACCCAAGTGCCACAGAAGGTTGCCAGCCCGGCCTGCCAATGAGTCCGGCTCCTCCCCCAGGGCAGGGGAAGGGCAGGGCGTGCAGAGCCCTGGGCTGAGGGCAGGAGCTCAAGGCCCACCCCACCCTGAGCACAGCTCCTCGCCTGTGGGCTGGAGGTCGGACACAATCGGAAGCCACCCTTGCCACATACCAGGTGCTTCGAGTACTTCCTAGTCCTTGCCCAGCCCCTCTGCTAAGCGGAGGCTCCGGGAGGACCTGCTGAGATGACATAGCCACTGAGCGCCAGCAGGACCATGACCACCCTCCCTGCCCGCCACCACGCCCACTCGAGAGAGTCTGGACTGGCCGCAGTCCACACTTCCGCAGCCCGGGGGTGGAAGCAGGGCCAGCACCCGCTTGGGCAAGGTTCAGAACTTGATCATCACAGGCTGCTCCGAGCAGGTCTTGCTGTAACTCCCTGAACCTGCTGTGGTCCTAAAGCCCCTCCTTCCCTGGCCATGCAACGAGCAGGGCAGAGGTCACCAAGGGACCCCTCTCAGGCAGCCCACGTGGCGGCCACACAGGGCTGGGGGCCAGGGCAGCAGACCTGGGCAGTAGACCTGGACCACTGTCTGGGAACCTTTCCCGAGACACATGCTGGCCCTGGCAGAAGGGACGGTTGTCCCCGCATCCTGAGCCGGGCGCCGCCTATCACCCACAACTTGTTGCTTATAAAAATCACAAAGTCCTCAAGAACAAGCCCCCTCAGGCCAGCTGTGACTAGAGGAGAGGAGCTGAACTCTGGGAATGCGGCGGAAAGTCAGCTTCCAGGGGCCGCCTCTGCTGCCGAGTGAGGGCAGGGAGAAGGGCCACTGAGCCCCTTCCCACAGGAGACTGGGCGCAGAGAGAAGGAAGAGCGTCTGTGCAGGACAGTCAGAGGCAGCGAGGCTGGAAGGAGGCTTAGCAAAGGCCAGAGAGCTTTTGGGAACAGGAACTACCTTTCACGGACATTTTCCTCAATCTCTTAACTGAGCTGTGACTTTTAGAGGCCAGACGGGAGGCGGGAGGGCTGGCGGGCTGGGGTGCGCGGCTAAGACACACGGGGAGTCCAATGGCTGACATCAGAACACTCGTCATGCCTGCACGGGTGTGAGATCAGACACGCAGAGAGGGAGAGACATTAGAAGATTCATTCGGCATGTGACGCCAACAAACTCTGCTCAGGCCAAGGACGTGACACCATCAATGGCCACAGGGACCCACAGGTCTCCCTGGGGAATGCAGCCTCTAGGGGCTGCCAGGACTACCCAGGCCAGGAACCAGAGGGTGGGGCAGCCTGGCTCATGGTAGCCTTGGCCCCAGGGTCCACAGACAAGCCCATACCCTCAGTGTGCAGATGGGGACTGGACGGAGCCCGTGACTTCAGGAGAGCAGAGGGCGGAGGACACCACTCCAGAAAGCCGCCCAGGGCATGAGGTCTCCTGGTGGGGGCTGGCTCCAAGGGCTCAGCTTCCCCAGGAGGCCCCGGGCCTTCCTGGCTTGGGGTTACCAGGCCTCCAGCCTCCACCCGGCGCTCGCTGTGTGTGCTCCACGCCCCTCCTGGCTGATCTGCGTGCCACGGCCTTCAGCGACAGCACTGGGGTGGACGGGCAGGAACGTGGCCCCTGGGCCTGCTCCCACACCGCAGCGTCCTCATCCTGTGAGGGCTGGGCTGCAGCAAAGCCCCAGGCTGTGGCTCTGATGCCGTCGGGCAAGGGTGGGCCTGCGGTCAGCAGCTATGCTGAGACGGACCGGCCACTCTCTCCAGGGCTCACCGCTGCCCAATACCTGCAGGGAGCCCCGCACTTGTCCTGGGGAGACCCTCCTCTGACACTGCTTCCTTTGTGCTCCCTGATGACCCAGCACTTCCTGGGACATAGCGTGTCCTCCTGCTGGACGAACCCGTTTCTGCCACACCCTCGGCCTACCCTGCTCTCCATAGTGCCAGCTCCCTGGTCCTCCCTGTCATTCGTCAGTCAGGTCAAAAGCACCTCCTCTCCAGGGAAAGGGGAAGCCCGGAGCTTCTTAGCCTTAAGGTGGCTTCTGGGGTCTGCAGAACCTGGCTTAGAGGCTGGGCACAGCCGGGTGCCGGGGGAGTTGGTAGAGATCCCAGCCCTCCTGGACCCCACTCCCCACCCAGGAACAGACAGTGTGACTCAGGGGTGAGGGGCGGCCAGGCCAGCCACGGCGCCCCCACTAGAAGAACAAAGTTTCTCAACCCGGCACATGTGCCTGGCTGTGCGGACACAAGCGGAGGCCAGCCACCAGCCTGGGCAGCACAGCCAAGGCGGGCAGGGTGAGTTGCAGTGGCCGCTCAGCAGGAGACACCAAAGCGTGCATCAGAGGACGGAGGTTCAAGCCCGGGAGCGTAATGCCCTCAACGTCCCAAGCTTGTTCCTGGCTCAAATGCGGTTCCTGTGGGAACTGAATGTTGGGTGGAGAGAAGGACAAGCGGGCGCGGTGGCAGAGAGATGGGAGAGGACAGGGACAGATGCAGTTTTCCTCAAGAGAACCTGGTGCCTCTGCACTGCCCGCGTCCTCTGGGAGGACCAAAGACCAGAACACGTCTCCCTACCCAGGGTTCTCCGGCAGCACTGCCTCGGTGGGCAGGCCTTCCCTGAACACCGCCTGACGGGGCCTGTGCCTCCAAGCCTCCTGCCCCGCTCTGCTGGACGACTCCTGCTATGCACTCTCCTCTGTTTCTATGGACTGTCTTCCCTCAGCACCAGTTCCACGAGGTCCCGCCCGCAGCTGCATCTCCAGTGCCTGGTCCCTGGGAGGCCTGCAGCCCTCTGTGTTTGCTGAGGAATGAAGACATCCCTGGGCCGCCACCAGCCCCCAGGAGGCCACATGAGCGACATGCGTGTCCTTTTTAAGGCAGGACCCACTCCCCTGAATTCAAGTCACAAACACACAAGTTTCAACCCAGAAGCCTGGAGAGGAGGAGGGCTAGGGACAGCCCCCCAAACTCCTGACAGCCCCCGAATCACCTGAATAACTCAGAGGGCCACAGCCTTTTTCTCCACCCATCTGGGAGGATTCCCGCTGTCAGAGCCCCGAAGAGTGAAGCCCCCACTCACTGACTCTCACTTCCAATTTGCAGACACCCCTCCTTCTAGCACCCAGGGCCAGGGCTGAGATCCAAGCCTCTCCTCTGTGTGCTCTGACCTCCCAGCCTGGGTTCGAGCCCAGTGCCAGCCCTCACCAGCTGAGCAGTCCTGGGCAGGCTGCTGACACCCACCCCTGCCCCGGGCAGCAGTGTGAGCTGTGGATGGACCACTGTTGTGACCAGAGGAGGGGTGGAGACCCTGGCCCCAGCCTCACAGTCCCTACCCCCACCCGATAAAGGAGGGGCTGGGCTATCCCACAGCCAGGGGAGCTGTCACCTGGAGGCACCATCACCTGGAAGCAGTGCCTCCAGCACCCAGTCCTTCCAAAGCATGACCTCCTGGTTATAAACCTCCTTGCAAAACCCTGTGCACGAAGACTCGTCTCTGCAGCCGGGCATGGTATAATTCCTCAACCCACAAGCACGCCAGGGTGACAGGACACCGCTCTCCAGCTCTGGCTCTGGGGTGCTGGCCAGGCTCCTCTCATTCCCCGCTCCCCTAGACAATGCTCCCCCAACAGGCACCAACACTGGGCCTTGAACTGGGGGAGGCAGCAGGCTACACAGCCTGCAGGCTCTCCTATTTCCTTAGGCCTGAACCAGCTTCCCGAATCTGTTTCCCCACAAGTAAAACGGACGTTAAAATACCTGCTTTGCTACGGGATTGCTCTGAGAGCCACGGGGACAGAGAACAGGATGGACAATTTGGGATGCAGCCTGGATAGAACCTTCAGCCTCAAGAGCAGAGGAAGGGGGCAGGTGGTAACTCCACATCCTGGGCACTCAGATCTGTGTCATGGCCTCAGAGGTCGCTGTCAGGCCTGGCCACGAAGGCTCGCAACAGCCCCAGAGCTGGAAGGAGCTAGGCCGTGAGGAACCATGTGGGGGCCCCGTCTGTTTACCCGTAACTTGTCTCCAATACCACCACGGCCGCCCACGCACACGCGCATACACGGTACACTGTGACTTCCCCACAGCGCCGCATGGTGACTTCAGTGGGCAGGGACTTTCTGGCCAGTGCGTCTTGCTCATTCCGTCTCCCCTGCCCCACTCCAGCTCCTCTCCCTCCTGCCCCCACCTCTCTGGCTGCTCCTTCATTTTCTCTTCAGGCTTCTCTTCCCAGAGTCCCGCCCGCGGTCTCTAGCGCACACGCTCCAATGAATGGTCAGGGGCACCCCATTCCACCGCAAACTGCTCTTCTGAAGCCCACAGCCAAATCCCACTGCCCCAGAACAGCTCCACTGGCCACTCCACAGCCATCAGTCCCTCCAAACCTCCCCCCAGACTCAGCAGCACCAAACTGTCATAGGCAAGAAGGCCCGGGGCTGTGTCTCAGCTCTGCCAAGGGCTGGCAGAGAATTTTTTAATTCTCCAAGCCTGTTTCCTCTAATGAAAATGGGCACAAAAGCCCCTACCTCAGTGATTTAAGGATGCAATGAATTCACACACACAAAGCCCCAGGCTGCTCCTGAGTCATGACTGGCTGTGCTCCACACACCAAGCCCTAGGCTGCTCCTGAGTCATGACTGGCTGTGCTCCAGCAGGCCTCAGTCTACCCCCAATCCCCCCTCACAACCCTCAGCCTGACGGCTCCTGCCTCTGAATGTTTCAAACCAAACCTCCTCCTCCACTCCACTGCCTTGAAGCTGGTCAGGCCTTGGCTGGTGCCCCCAGGTCTGAGATCAGGCTTTGCACTAGCCGCCCTGCCTCCAGACTTGTCCCCTCTCAGCCACCCTGCACTATGACAGCGACTCACCTAAAACACCAACTCACTGAATTCTGCTACATCACCCTGTGAGCAACGGCGGTGCCATCTACCTCCTGACCTCGCACTTTCCAGAAGTTAGAAAATAACCTCGGCTGGGCGCGGCAGCTCGTGATGGGAATCCCAGTGCTTTGGGAGGCCAAAGCAGGATGATGGCTTGAGCCTGGGAGTTCAAGACCAGCCTGGGCAACATAGTAAAACCCTGTCTCTATAAAAAATTAAAAAACTAGCCGGGCATGGTGGCATGTGCCTGTAATCCCAGCTACTCAGGACGATGAGGCAGAAGGATCGCTTCAGCCCAGGGGTTGGAGGCTGCAGTGAGCTATGACTGCACCACTGCACACCAGCCTGAGGAACACAGCAAGATCCTGTCTTCTTATAACAAGAAAAAAAAAAAAAAAAAAAGGCCTGGCGCAGTGGCTCATGCCTGTAATCCCAGCACTTTGGGAGGCCAAGGTGGGTGGATCACTTGAGGTCAGGAGTTCAAGACCAGCCTGGCCAACATGGCGAAACCCCATCTCTACTAAAAATACAAAAATTACCTGGGTGTGGTGGCAGGCATTTGTAATCCCAACTACTCGGGAGGCTGAGGCAGGAAACTGCTTAAACCTGGGAGGCAGAGGTTGCAGTGAGCTGAGATCCCGCCACTGCACTCCAGCGTGGGTGACAGAGACAGACTCTGTCTCAAAAAAAGAAAAAAGAAAAAAAAAAAAAACCAAAACCCTGCCATGTGTGGAGCTTCTGCAAACCCTGCTAGCCAGGCTGCTGAAAGAGAATGGGTGCGGGGGCCAGTGGTAGGTATTTTTAAGGATCCTTAAGGTGAAAGCATTGCTTGAGCCCAGGAGTTTAAGACTTCAGTGAGCTGGGTTAGCGCCACTGCACTCCCGCCTGTGTGACAGAGCGAGACTCTGTTTCACGAAAAAAACCAAACCAAACCAAACCCAAAACAGTTCCAAGATGTAAGATGTATGGTTAGTACAGCACAAGATCTGGCTGGACCCAAAAGGTGCTTCTTATTCAAGATATAAGGGTAACTACAGCCGAAATAGGTCTATTAATTCCCCAGAGGGCTCCTTTAAGGAAATGTTTAAAGCATTTCAGGACAGGAAAGTGACTATTTAAATATAATGCAATTCAATGCAAAAATGTTAAAGGATATGAAAAGTTCTGCACCCGAGCGCCCACCGTCATCAGGCCCCACGTCCCCAGAGAGCCAAAGGAGGTGTGCCTGGGCTCACTCTGGGGGGACACCATCACCAGAAAGAGGCACTGCTCCCCTAGGAAGCCGCTTTGGCTCTCCCTGAGGATCCAGAGGGTGACAAGACCCCACATCACAATTTCTTCCCCACTGAGTCCCGCGGAGCACAGACTGCTCTGCAGCCCGAGGGCAGGCACCTACCTGCGAGCGCCTGCTGGACTCTGCTGGGCTTTGGCATCTGCACGGGCACAGTGGCAGGGATGCTCCCCGGGCTGCAGGACGGACCGCTGGGGAGGGAGGCACTGGGGGAGAAAAGAGCAGAGCTTACGGTGCTGCTGACTTATCAGAAACGAGAGCGAGAGAAACACTGTCATCGCCAAGTGGGAGTCACTGAGGTGCCTTCGCGCTTTCACGCTCCTTGGGTGCCTCTGTGTAGCTGCCTTTGGTTTTGTTTTCCTGGGCAATTCAGAGGACTCAGGAGGGGTGTGGTGGCTCACACCTGTAATTCCAGCACTTTGGGAGGATGAGGTGGGAGGATCACTTGAGGCCAGGAGTTTGAGGCCCACCTGAGCAACATAGTGGGACTCCATCTCCACAAAAAATTTAAAAAGTCTGCCAAGAGCGGTGGTGCACACCTGTACTTGGGAGGCTGAAGCAGGAGGACGGCTTGAACCCAGGAGGTTGAGGCTGCAGTGAGCCATGATCACATCACTGCAGTCCAGCCTGGGCGACAGAGTGAGAATCTGTCTCAAAAAAAAAAAAAAGGCTCTGAAAACAATCGTTTCATACCTATTGTGAATAAAGAAAATAAAAAGATATTTTACACCCACCAGTGTTAGCAAAATGCAGGCTTTCGGGCCGGGCGCGGTGGCTCAGGCCTGTAATCCCAGCACTTTGGGAGGCTGAAGCAGGTGGATCACAAGGTCAGGAGATTGATACCACCCTAACATGGAGAAACCCCGTCTCTACTAAAAATGCAAACAATTAGCTGGGCATGGTGGCACGCACCTGTAGTCCCAGCTACTCGGTAGGCTGAGGCAGGAGAATCTTTCACTTGAACCCAGGAGGTGGAGGTTGCTGAGATTGTACCACTGCACTCCAGCCTGGGCAACAAAGTGAGACTCCGTCTTAAAAAAAAAAAAAAAAAAGCCAGGCGCAGTGACTCAGCACTTTGGGAGGCCGAGGTGGGTGGATCACAAGGTCAGGAGTTCAAGACCATCTTGGCCAAGATGGTGAAATCCCATCTCTACTAAAACTACGAAAATTAGCCAAGCGTGGTGGCAGGTGCCTGTAATCCCAGCTACTTGGGGGACTAAGGCAGGAGAATCGTTTGAACCTGGGCAGCAGAGGTTTCAATGAGCCAAGATCACACCACTGCACTCCAGCCTGAGCAACAGAGAGAGATCCTGTCTCAAAAACAAACAAAAAATGCAGGTTCTCATAACACCTGTTTAGAGGAGACACCTGGCAGAAACCACTTTAGCAAATGCTCATGACCTTCGTCACCAGTAACAGACAAGTCAGTATCATAAACCCCATGATACAATGCTCTGGGAGGGACACACCATTTTGGGGGGATTTAATGTCAAAAATGCATTATCTAGCCTGGGCAACAATCAAGACCCCATCTCCAAAAAAGAAAAAACTAGCCAGGTGTGGTGGCATGCACCTGTGGCCCCAGCTACTTGAGAGGTTGAGGCGGGAGGATCACTTGAACCTGGGAGTTCAAGGCTGCAGTGAGCTATGATCTCACCACTGTACTCCAGCCCAGGCTGGAGGCTCTGTCAAAAAAGAAATAATGAAGGGCATTATCTTTGTCCAAACATGGGAAAACTTAAGACAAACTCAAATTAAGGGACATTCAATAAAGCACCTCTATGAAAGTAACAAGGTTATGAAGGATAAAGACTGACAAACCGTTTCAGCCCAGAGAAGGACGGAGAGAATAAGAACTGGAAGCGAAGTGGGACCCTGGATTGGATCCTGGGACAGAAAGAGGACAGTAGTGGGAAACTGGTGAAAAATCAAGAAAAAAAAAACTTCAGAGTATTGTACCAGTGGTAATTTTCTTTCTTTTTCGGGGGGGGGGGAGGGGGGGAGGCGACAGAGTCTCGCTCTGTTGCCAGGCTGGAGTGCAGTGGTGTGATCTTGGCTCACTGCAACCTCCGCCTCCCAGGTTCAAGCGATTCTCCTGCCTCAGCCTCCCAAGTAGCTGGGACTACAGGCGCATGCCACCATGCCTGGCTAATTTATGTATTTTTAGTAGAGATGGGGTTTCGCCATGTTACCTAGGATGGTCTTGATCTCTTGACCTCGTGATCCACCTGCCTTGGCCTCCCAAAGTGCTGGGATTACCGTCTTGTTCCCTACAATGATTATATTCAGGTCACTCATTTGGTCTTTGTATTTATTTTTTTCGAGGCAGAGTCTCACTCTGTGCCCTGGCTAGATGGAGTGCAATGGCATGATCTTGGCTCGCTGCAACATCTGCCTCACAGGTTCAAGCAATTCTCATGCCTCAGCCTCCCGAGTAGCTGGGATTACAGGTGTGTGCCACCACATCCGGCTAATTTTTGTATATTTAGTAGAGACGGGGGTTTCGTCATGTTGGCCAGGCTGGTCTCAAACTCCTGACCTCAGGTGATCTGCCCACCTCAGCCTCCCAAAGTGCTGGGATTACAGGCATGAGGCACCACACCTGGCCACTCATTTGGTTTTAAGTCATCATATTTCTTTCTTTTTTTTTTTTTTTTTTTAGAGGTAGGGTCATGCCAGCAGAGTGACATGGTGGAAGCATGCTGGGCTCACAGAGTTGGGCTCTTGCTCTGTTGGAGTTCAAGCCCTTAGCTGGAGTGCAGTGGTGCAATCATAGCTCACTGCAGCCTCCACCTCCTAGGCTCAAGTGATCCTCCTGCCTCACCCTCCTGAGTAGCTGGGACTACAGGTGAGCGCCACCACACCTGGCTAGTTTTTAAAATATATAAACAGAATCTTGCTATGTTGTCCAGGCTGGTCTGAAACTCCTGGCCTCAAGAGATCCTCCCACCTTGGCCTCCAAAAGCACTGGGATTATGGGCATGAGCCACTGTGCATGGTCTGAGTTTGTTTGTTGACTGTTCTCAAACAGGATTGTCTCTGCGGCTGTGCCACGCAAACAGCAGCTTCTTGCTCTCCTCGCCTACTCCCAATCCAAAGGCAAGGCTGGCAGTGGATCTGGGGGCCCTGATAATGCCAAGAAGGGCAGGGAGTCTGGACACCTGGGTCAAGGTCCTGGCTCTACTGACACTCACCTTTTCATTCATTTGGAGCAAACCCCTCCCCTTCCTCAGTCGGTTTCAACTCTTCCCCACCCGTTTTTTTTTTCCTCAGAGTCTTGCTGTGTCACCCAGGCTGGAGTGCAGTGGCGTGATCTTGGCTCACTGCAACCTCTCTGCCTCCCAGGCTCAAGCAATTCTCCTGCCTCAGCCTCCCGAGTAGCTGGGATTACAGGAGCCCACCACCATGCCCGGCTAATTTTTGTATTTTTAGTAGAGACAGGGTTTAACCATATTGGCCAGGCTAGTCTTGAATTACTGAACTCAAGTGATCCACCCACCTCGGCCTCCCAAAGCGTTGGGATTACAGGTGTGAGCCACCTGCCCAGCCCTCTTGTCCTTTTTTTTTTTTTTTTTTTTAAAGGAAAGTGGATCATCTCTGATGGTCTCTACAACTCTAAGGTTCTGTAAGTGAAGGCATTCAGGACCCTCTAGGGCAGCACTGAGCTCAAGCCCTTAGTTGGAACCCAGAAAGCTGAAGTTTGGCACTGTAAGTCTACAAAACAAATGGGCTATGCAGCAGGCTAGGCATCACTGGCCCAGAGGGGCTCTAAGCCCATGGTGCTCCTCCCCCTACCACCCCCACCAGAGATGGGGTCCCTGACTGCTCCACCCCACAGAAAAATCCCAGTAAGTGAGGTCTTCCTTCACCAGGGAGAGGCACATATCTGAACGAGAAGGCTTGCTTCTGTTCTAACAAGAACGAACAAGAAGTCCTTGCTTCCAAGGACTACAGCAGAAAGCAGAAGCACAGTGAGGCTTCCAATGGGCGCTCACCCTGTGACTGGAGAGCAGGAAACCAGGAGTGTGTTCTGCAGAAAGCTCTAAAAATATCACCACTTCCCCCATATAATCACAGTTCCCCCCGGTGTGTGTCCCTGCTGTGACCTCTAGGAACTGAACCATACAAGGATACAGAGGTTCCCAAGATGGGGGCCCCCAGGGGTGGATGGAACCTCAGAGGTTATCAATCGCCCTCATCATCCTCAGAGGGCTCGGACCTGCAGAACGTTCCCAGATGGGGGCACCAACTGCCCCCCGAAGTGTCCTCTGAGAAGTCCCTACAGTCATGACCTCAGGCACCCTCCTCCTCTCCCTGACTCCTGGTCCGCCTATCAGGCCCTCCCTGGCTTTCCTGTCTGTGACCATCTCCAGAAGATCCCAGACAGCGTGGGAAACGTGAGACATGAGGACTCTGAGTTTTCTATGCAGGGCGAGGGGCAAAACCAGGAGGCCGGAGAGGAAGGAGATCCAAAGCCCCTCTCCAAGGCCACACCCTCTGGGATTGGGGCTGGCAGCCAGTCCCATGAGCTGCAGAGGCTGGAGACGATGCTAGAAGCGTATGCTCCCGCTCAAAGCCGTGTGCGCTGGGCATGGCAAGTCCCCTTCCCAAGCCTCAATTCCTCTACCTATGAGGATGATTCCCAAAGGCCGCCAGGGCAGTGAGGAGACTCAGGACAAATATCCGTGGGGACCAGGTCTTGCAGGAGCAGAGGGAGGTGAAGCCAGGCCCTAAGGTCCACCAGGTACTTTCCTGTAGGGCCCTAGCTACATCCTGAAAACCACAGCAACAATAGAACAGAAGGCAACCTCAGAAACTGACCAGTCCAACCCTCTCTCAGCTCAAAAGAAGAAGAGGCAGGGCACGGTGGCTCACACTTGTAATCCCAGTGCTTTGGGAGGCCAAGAGTTTGGGACCAGCCTGGGCAATATAGTGAGACCCGTCTCTACAAAAATTTTTAAAAATTAGCTGGACACAGTGGCACAAGCCTGTAGTCCTGGCCACTCAGGAGGCTGAGGCAGGAGGATCCCTTGAGCCCAGGAGCTTGAGGCTGCAGTGAGCCATGGTCACACCACTTTACTCTAGCCTGGGTAACAGAGTGAGACCCTGTCTCTTAAAAAAACCAAAACAAAACAAAAAGCAAAGAAAAAGAAAAGAAGAAGAAAAAAATAGAGAAGAGACCCAGGGCCTACCATAAGTCAGCAGCAAGGCCCCATCTGGGCCCCATGACTCCAATCCCACAAGCCAAAAGACAGGCGGCCGCAGGAGGAAGAGGAAGTGAGTTCTTTCAGAGGCAAGGGCAGGGGCAGCAGCAGCCGCCCACCACAGCAGCAAGCCACCAAGAGCTGAGCGGGCGCAGTTTTGTAGGGCCACTGAGCCATTTGGCACAGAGCAAAACACCCACAGGCTTCACCTTGCTGAGCTGTGACAGACTGCTGGTCATAACCACCACCCCAAGCCATCCAAGTGCTATGCAGTGCCACACGCTCTCCGTTAAGGGAGACAAGAGCGTGCATGACACATTTAGGAAAGATTTCCATCCAATATCATTGAAACACAAGTTCTGATGCTTAAAGGAATCAACTTCAGCTACCAGGAAATCTACTGCCACCCAGCAGCTCAGCCCCAGATGACACGCTTTCTTGTATCACGGCCTATTCCCAGGGGGCACGTGGAAGCTGTGCACATGAGTTCCAGGAAATTTTTCGATTTCATGCGCTCACATGGTATTTCTAGTGGCTGCCAGTAAAAAGTCGGTTCTCGGGCCTCCCCAGCCCATGGCGCTGGCTCTAGATGGGCCCCGCCTGCCCTGCCTGCCCCCCCCTCACATCCAAGGTAACTTTCACCTGCTGCTGTTGACAAGCACTTGGCTGTGAGAAGCTCGCCACCTGCTAGGTTAAGAGGTCAGGTATTTACTAAGCCCCATCTGGCTCTATACCCGTCAGAGGAGGGTTAACTGCAGGGGGCCTCACTACAAATCAGGCAGGTGAAAAGCCTGTTTTTCAGCGCGGGGATAGGCCCGTGCAGGTGAATTACACCTCTCCAGCTCCAAGAAAACCAAAGGAATCAGGATGCACCTACACCTACCCCAGGAGACAGGCCCCTTTGAGGCTGGTTCTACTAACAGAGCCTGCTGGCCTGGTTCCCTCCTGACTTAAATGTGGGGCAAGACACAGCAAGCCCAGCCCAGCACCAAGGGAAGACGGACTGGCCCAGCCACCTTCTTTTCTGTAACTTGCCTGGCCCACACCAGTGGGACCCACATCAGCACTTCTGCAGGCCCTCAGGCTAGGGATGGGGACCCCAGAGAAATATTGGGGGAAACGCAAATGGTTTAGTAGAGACCAGTGGGGCCCAATACCAGGAGAAAGGAACAAAGCCACATTAAGAGAATCCCGCTCTAGCACTATCCAGAAATTTGCCTCAAAATAATTCCTAAGAACTTAAGAAGCTCCAGGAGGCTGGGTGAAACAGAGCTGACAGAAGTCCCAGTGCCTCTAAGAACCCTCCTGGGCCTGTAGATAGAGTACACTGTTCTCTGAAACAGGCTGACCCAGATATTCAGGGCGGGAAGTTGAGGCAGCACCTCCCTGAGCCCGGCTTGCCTATGTCTGTGTCCTCAAGAGAACCCCAATAACACCTTCCTGTACTCGCAACTCCCAGAAAGATCTCAGATGCACGTGCCCCAACTCCTGGCAGAAGATGCCCATAAGAACTCTAACTCACCCAAGGCCCATCACTCTCCTGTCTACTGGCCTCCTCCTAGCTCATCCCTCAAGAGGCCTTTTGGGCCAGGTGTGATGGCTCATGCCTATAATCTCAGCACGTTGGAAGGCTGAGGCAAGAGGATTGCTTGAGGCCAGGAATTCAAGACTAGCCTGGACAACATGGCAAGACCATGCCAATACATAAAACTGAAAAATTAGCCGGGTGTGGTGGTATACACCTGTGGTCCCAGCTACTCAGGAGGCTGAGGCAGGAGGATCACTTGAGCACAGCAGTTCCAGCCTGCAGTGAACCATGACTGTACCACTGTACTCTAGCCTGGGTGACACAGCAAAACCCTGTCTCTAAAAATAGTAACAAAATAAAATTAAAATGTATTAAAAGAGCCCCCTGCCTTCCCGGGAGCATCAAGAACTCCCCCATGTGCCCCAGATAGCGCACTCTTGGGGCCTGGGCTGAATCCCAGCTCTGGCACTTGCTGGCTGTGTCGCCAACCTCATGGGCCTGGACGTGCTCCCCTGTAAGTGAAGAACACTGCTCAGCCTGAGAGCGTCGTGGCATGAGTGAAGTCACTCATGCAGCCTGCTCAGGAGGGCCTGGCACATGACACGAACCAATAAGTGGGAGGCGCTGTCACTGTGTCTTACACAAGCTGACAGGGTCCTCAGAAACACAGTCTGAAAAAATACTAGAGGTCCGAGAAGTCGCCAAGGAGGTCTCGACCACCCTGAGAAGTTTCAGCCCTTGACGTGGGTGCGGTAGGCAGGGGTGGGCCAGTGAGCAGGGAGGCAGCAGGATGCTGACCAGGGCCAGTGCGGCCCACACACTCCCTCACCACCCACACCAGCACACTCTCAGAAAGCCCCGTCCCAGCTACCACTCCGAATTCTCAAAATGTGCTCCAAGCCCAACACTCTCAATAATGAATGACAAAGCCCCAAGTCAGCCAGAGCGTCAGAGGGCTACGGCCAGCCCAGAGCATTCACCTTGGCCAAATCCAGGGAAATCCAGGGGGGTTCCTCATTTTATCTTTTTTTTGAGATGGAGTTTTTTTTTTTTTTTTTGAGACGGAGTCTCGCTCTGTCGCCCAGGCTGGAGTGCAGTGGCCGGATCTCAGCTCACTGCAAGCTCCACCTCCCGGGTTCACGCCATTCTCCTGCCTCAGCCTCCCGAGTAGCTGGGACTACAGGCGCCTGCCACCTCGCCCAGCTAGTTTTTTGTATTTTTTAGTAGAGACGGGGTTTCACCGTGTTAGCCAGGATGGTCTCGATCTCCTGACCTCGTGATCCACCCGTCTCGGCCTCCCAAAGTGCTGGGATTACAGGCTTGAGCCACCACGCCCGGCCGAGATGGAGTTTCACTCTTTGTCACCCAGGCTGGAGTGCAGTGGCATGGTCTTGGCTCACTGCAACATCCACCTCCTGGGTTCAAGGGATTCTCTTGCCTCGGCCTTACAAATAGCTGGAATTACAGGTGCTGACCACCATGCCTGGCTAATTTTTGTATTTTTAGCAGAGATGGGTTTCACCATATTGGCCAGGCTGGTCTCAAACTCCTGACCTCAGATGATACGTCCACCTTGGCCTCCCAAAGTGCTGGGATTACACACATGAGCCACTGGGCCCAGCTTTAAGACAGGGTCTCGCTCTGTCGCCTAGGGGCTGGAGTGCAGTGGCACGATCACAGCTCACTGCTGCCTCGACCTCCTGGGCTCAAGCGATCCTCCTGCCTCAGTCTCCTGAGTAGCTGGGATCACAGGTGTGCACCACCATGCCTGGCTAATTAAAAATTTTTTGTGTGTGTGGAGATGAGGTCTCACTATGTTGCTCAGGCTGGTTTCTGACTCCTGGGCTCAAATGATCTTCCTGCCTTGGCCTCCCAAAGTGCTGGGATTAAAGGTGTCAGCCTCTGTGCTTGGCCAATCTCCTCACTTTAAATGCCACCTGCTCTGGTCTGCACTGGGCCCGTGGTATCCTTATCTCTCTCTCAAGGAGCTGAGTGCTTTACCAGGCACTCTGGGCTGGGCTGCATCAGCAGGGGGCCGGGTCACCCATGCCACCTGCAGCCACTGCCACATGCTCCACATTCTGTCCTCCCTCACACCGTGCTGACAGCCCCCCACACTAGACTGGGTCGCAGGGGTAAGGGCTGATGCTCTGGTCTCTGGGTCTTCACGACCTGGCACATGGCAGGAGTCAGTGTACAGGCAGTGACCCGATGTTCTCGGGCACAATGCTCGCCATGAAGCCCACAAGCAGAGGCCACAGGCCTCTAACTCTGCTCTCCGTGGAGGGTCCCAGCATCGTGACTGAAAGGACTGTAGATTCTAACCCATGTGGTGACCACCAGGACTCGGGTACAAGGGGTCAGGTAGGCTCTGGACGGCCATGGCACCTCAGCACTCACATGGCACATGCAAATGAGATGCCATGGCAGGGACCACCCAGGGGGCAGGAGCCGCATCTGCAGGAATTGGGGTGAGTCTTCCCAGCCAAGTAAGAGCGGAAACACAGGGCGGACAAAACGAGTGGCTGTTGCCCACGATACCTGACTGCACCAGAAGTGGAGGATCCTGGGGGCAGGTGCTGCAGTCCCAGGTGGGAGAGGCTGGAGCGGTAGAGGGGCTGGCTCCCCAGGGAGGGAGGAGCCGCGCCCCAGGGGTTGGTGGTGTTCAGCCTGGGCGCAGACCGAGCCCCGGAGAGTGAGGGTTTGCTGTACGGTGCAAAGGCCTGGTGGGTCCCAAACACAAAAGCGGTCCTGTGCGGGGGGTGCTGGGGGGCGGGGTACGCAGGGAGGTTGGTCATGGAGTGGCGGTAGCGGCCTGACACGGGGCCAGTTCCGCTGCCGCTGAGGCACTGGTGGCAAGAGCAGGCAACGCCCGTGTGGCCCGGCGGAGCGATGATGGTGGTCACCGGGTAAGGCGGCCCTGCTTGGCGCCGCACACTGCGGCAGAAGCTGGAAGTCTTGTTGGTCTGCGTTTGGGTGGCATAGTTGACAGTGTAGTTGTACCCCAGCGGGGCCAAGTCCACGAGCTGGTTGCCCCTGGCCACCTGCTGCTCCAGATAGTCACAGACGCTGGCTTCGTAGGCGGTCCAGGAGCCATCGTCGCTCAGCCACTCCCAGACGACACCTCGGCCAGGGGCTGAGTGCTGGGGGAACAGGTGTCTCCGCACAGCCCTCATGGTGCCTGTTTCCAAAGAAAAACAAAAGGTTAGTCTGCTAGCATCCCCAAAATACAGGGAACGTTCAAATTCTTTTTTCAACAGCCCAAATAAATAGGAACACAGTAGGTACACAGTCATGCTGCTATTTGTTTATTTATTTTTAGAGACAGGGTCCCCTTTGTCGCCCAGGCTGCAGTGCCATGATGTGATCATAGTTCTCTGCCACCCTGACCTCCTGGGCTCAAGCGATCCTCCTGCCTTAGCCTCCTGAAGAGCTGGGACTACAGGCACATGACACTATACCCAGCTAACTTCAAATCCACGGCCTCTATGACACCTGCCACTTTCATTCCCCAATTAACACTTCCTGCTCTCCACCACAATATGCAATTTCGGTGTTATTATTTATCCTGTCTGCTATCTTTCTCAGTTGACTTCACACAACGTGAAGGCGATGACTTGGGAGCTGACTGACAGCCACAGTTTTCACAGACTCTACGACACTCCTGACAAAGATTAACACAGAGTTTCCAGGGCCAGGCGTGATAGCTCAAGCCTGTAATCCCAACACTTTCAGAGGCCAAGGCAGGAAGATCACTTGAGCTCAGGAGTTGAAGACCAGCCTGGGCAACACAGGGAGATGGAGATCCTGTCTCTACAAAAAACAAAAAAACAAAAACAAAAAAAGAAAAAAAATCCCATACTTTTAAAAAAAATTTAAAATTAAAATTGGAAAAAAAAAAAAAAAAAGGAAAAACCAGTTTCTCAAGTATTGGCACTGGTGACACTATGGGCCAATAAGTCCTTATTGCAGGGCCAGCCCTATACGCTGCAGGACGGTGAGCAGCATCCCTGGCCTCCACCCTCCAGATGCCAGGAGCACCCCCACCTCCCACCCACTCAGCTGTGACAACCAACAATGTCTCCAAACATTGTCAGATGGCCCTGGGGACAAAATCACCCTGGAATGGAGGAAGGGACGGCTCCAAGAGGAAACTGGTGCCTCATTCTCAATAATCCTGATCAAAACACACTGCAGGTCCAGGCACGGTGGCACACGCCTGTAATCCCAGCACTTTGGGAGGCCGAGGCAGGCAGATCACCTGAGGTCAGGAGCTCGAGACCAGCCTGGCCAACGTGGCAAAACCCTGTCTGTACTAAAAATACAAAAAGTAGCCAGGTGTGGTTGTGGGCGCCTGTAATCCCAGCTACTCGAGAAACTGAGGCAGGAGAATTGCTCGAACCCAGGAGGCAGGGGTTGCAGTGCCGAGATCACACCATTGCACTCCAGCCTGGGCAACAGAGCGAGACTCCGTCTCAAAAAAAAAAAAAAAAAAAAAGATCAAAACACATCGCAGACCAAAAAGCAGAAATGCACACATGCAGAGGGGCGCAGTTGCCTGCCCAGGGCACACAGCCATTGAGTGGTGGGGCAGGGCCCTCTGAACTCCCATGGCGCACCACCCCTCCATGCCAGCCTGCCTGCCAAAGAGACCCTCCAACCTCTGCGGTCGGGACAGGCATTTCTGCTTTGCGAGACAAGGGGAAGGGCCTCCCACAGCGTCTCACTGTGAGCTGCACTCAACCTGTGTGGATGTTCCCACTCACTGCACCCACCTACCACCACGTGTGCTGCAGGGAGAGAGCAGCTCTGTAGGTCACGTCCATCACCCCAACACCTGGCACAGAGCCTGTGGGAAAGCAGGTGCGGCGCCCAGATATGTGCGAGAGGCAGACAGCGTCTTACCGGTGTCCTGGCGGAACTGGGTCCAGCTGGGGAGGTCAATGATGTAAGGGGCCAGCGAGGGGTCTGCCTGGCCCAAGGGGATGCTGTGGGCCAGGCTCCCGAGCCCGAAGCGTTGGCCCTTCTGCTGGACAAACTGCTGCTCGATGAAGCTGCAGACGGCGGCGCTGTAGGGGTGCCAGGTGCCCAGCCCGTCCTGCCATTCCCACACGGCCACAGCCACGGGGCTGGTGTACACCTGCACCAGGGAAGGGCTTGGGGCCATGGCCATCTTCCCAAGGAGTCCTGCTGCTTTCCCAAACGGCTTCAGACCCCTCTGGCCTGGAGTCCCGGGGTCATTGCCCAGAGCCTCCGGCAGATCTGTGAATAGGACAGACACGAGCAGTTACCAATGTACAGCAGTAGCCCTGCAGAGTCAGCCTCAGGGCAGGGGAAACACACCATGCTTTTCCACAGCTGATTTTTTTTTTTTTTTGAGATACAGGGTCTCCCTCTGTCACCCAGGCTGGAGTGCAGCAGTGCGATCTTGGCTCATGGCAACCTCAAACTCCTGGGCTCAAGCAATCCTCACAACTCAGCTGCCAGAGCAGCTGGGACAATAGGCATTTGCCGCCACACCCAGCTGATTTTTTTCCTTTTTGTAGAGATGGTGTCTGTGTTGCCCAGGCTGGTCTCAAACTCCTAGCCTCAAGGGATCGACTCGCCTCAGCCTTCCCAAGTGCTGGGATCACAGGTGTGAGCCGCCGCGCCTGGTCTCATGCTTGCTTTTCTTACCCTAACACCTTAAGGGCACCATGAATCAAGAACCTGATCCTGCCTCTTTACTCTGGCAGCCAGGAAGAATTCAAAGTCAATCCCACAGCCTACCTACCGCCGCACAGGCCCATGAAGAAAGAGCAGCGGAAATTCCGGGTGCTAGTCACCAGCGCAGCTTCTTTCTTGCTACTGGTAATTCCCCTCTGGCCCAACTGCTTAGTGTATCATTTCATCATGCGTGCATTTCTTTTTTCTCTTTTTTTTTTTTTGAGACGGAGTCTCACTCTGTCACCCAGGCTGGAGTGCAGTGGCCGGATCTCAGCTCACTGTAAGCTCCGCCTCCCGTGTTTTAGGCGATTCTCCTGCCTCAGCCTCCGGAGTAGCTGGGACTACAGGCGCCTGCCACCTCGCCCGGCTAGTTTTTCTTTTTGTATTTTTTAGTAGAGACGGAGTTTCACCGTGTTAGCCAGGATGGTCTCGATCTCCTGACCTCGTGATCCGCCCGTCTCGGCCTCCCAAAGTGCTAGGATTACAGGCTTGAGCCACCGCGCCCGGCCGCATTTCTTTTTTCATTGAGATGGAGTTTCACTCTTGTCGCCCAGGCTGGAGTGCAATGGTGTGATCTGGGTTCATTGCAACCTCCGCCTCCTAGGTGGGTTCAAGTGATTCTCCTGCCTCAGCCTTCCAAGTAGCTAGGACTACAGGCATGCGCCACTGCGCCCAGCTAATTTTTTATACTTTTAGTAGAGATGAGGTTTCACCATTTTGGCCAGGCTGGTCTCAAACTCCTGACCTCAGGTGATCCACCCATCTCAGCCTCCCTATTAGCACCCACCATGCTGAAGATGAGAACCCAGCATGTCTCGGAAAGGAGCAGGGGTTTTGGGACACAGGTTCTACCTCCTCATGTCTCCAGGGTGCCCTGGAAGCATCACTGACCACAAAGGAAGCCCTAGATGGGCACCGAATCACCCCTCTGTCCTCTGCAAAGCTCTCTGCACCCACTCCCCCGCCCGGCCCCTGCTGACCGGCCACCAGGCCCAGCGAGTTCTTCCCCACCTCCCAAGCTCCCCACCTCCTGAGACCTTCTCCTTGTAGTCGCTCCAGCCCACCCTCTTCCCTTGCAAAGACTCCACATCCTCCAGGCCCAGCTTGCGTCGCTCAGGATGACCCATCACATGCCCTCTGCACCCTCCACAGCACTGACCAGAACCCTAGTAACCGCATCCACCTGTGGCTGTAACCACGGTCCTTCTACTCCTCCCCAGGTGGCAGCAACCCCAAGCCTGCCTCATTCACAGCTGCATCGCTGGGACCCAGCCGGGGCGTGCCACGTGGTGAATGTTCTAGAATGTTCTATACACCGCTTCAGAATGACAGAGTGAAGGTGGACAATGATTCCAGTCAGCACCTCCAGTTGTCTGAATGAGAAGAGGCCTGCAAATGCCCCCATATGATGGCCGCCCCCCATGGCACTGGCTGTTGGAGTGCCGGTCCAGGGTCCAACATTTAGCAACCAACATCAAATGTCCTAGTCTCTCCTAAGCCGCACAGACTGATAAGGTGACATTTCTCTCACGGACAGGAAACCAAGGCTGAAAGAGGTCAAGGGGACTGGGTGTGGTGGCTCACACCTGTAATGCCAGTGTTTGGGGAGGCTGGGACAGGAGGGTCGTTTGAGCCCAGGAGTTTGAGGCCAGCCTGGGCAACATACTGAGATCCCATCTCTGCAGAAAATTTAAAAATTAGCCAGGTGCGGAGGCGCACGCCAATAGTCCCAGCTACTCAAGAGGCTGAGGCGGGAGGACGGCTTGAGCCCAGGAGTTGGAGGCTGCAGTGAGCTATAATCCCAAGGCACTCCAGCCTGGGTGACAACAGGCCCCACCTCTAAAAAAAAAAAAAAAAAAAAAAAAAAAATCAGGCCAGTCACGGTGGCTCAAGCCTGCAATCCCAGCATTTGGGAGGCCGAGGTGTGAGGATCACGAGGTCAGGAGATGAAGACCATCCTGGCTAACACAGTCTCTACTAAAAATACAAAAAAAAAAGGCAGGCGTGGTGGCAGGTGCCTGTAGTCCCAGCTACTCAGGAGGCTGAGGAAAGAGAATGGCGTGAACCCAGGAGGCAGAGGTTGCAGTGAGCTGAGATCGGGCCACTGCACTCCAGCCTGGGCGACAGAGCAAGACTCCATCTCAAAAAAAAAATATAATAATAATAATAATAATCAGAGCTGATGCAGCGTGTGTGCACGCTAATGCCAGAGCCCATGCCTGCTCCTTTCCAGGGGTTGCTCCAGATCTGTCTCCCTTCCAGGGAAGGCGGTCTTACCCTTCTCATTGAAATCTTGCTGGGGTAGTACAGTCTGGGACCACACCAGAAGCCCAGGGTCCCAGTCTTATCACGAGCCACGCGACTGTGAGGACGTCACTGTAACTACCTGGGTCTCAGTTTCCTCATTGGCAAAATGGGGATAAAATATGATGTGTACGCTTGAGGGGACAGTCATGGGAATCTCCAGACTGTATCAGTGGGGGCCCTACCGGCCAGGGCCCTGCATGGGCGTGTTGTCACAATGAGGGTGTGTAGTGCTTGAGAGACGTGGGTCGTGCTCTCCTTTCCTCTTCCCCCTCTTTAAGCAGGGCCTGTAAGTGAAGCCCAAGGTGAACCTCAGACTGAGCCCTCCTCGCTAAGACAATGGGCCATAGAGCCAGACCCGACCTGGGTTTGTTCCCTGTGCTGCCTCTTAGTCGTGTATGTGTGACCTTGATTGAATAACTCAAGGTCACACATACACTACTTAATAAAAGGTGACATTTATGTATTTATTTAGAGTCTCACTCTGTCACCCAGGCTAGAGTGCAGTGGCGTAATCACCACTCACTGCAGCCCCACGGCCTCCTGGGCTAAAGCCATCCTCCTGCCTCCGCCTCCCGAGCAGCTGGGACTACAAGCATGTGCTACCACACTCAACTGATCTCTTAATTTTTTGTAGAGACAGCAGTCTCACTCTGTCACCCAGCTGAGACTACGGGCACGCGCCACCATGCCTGGCTATCATATCATCTTGATGGTAGTATCTAAGCTCTCCAAGCTTGCTTTCTTTGGGAAAATGGAGTTATCAACATGTATCCTAAGTGTTTTTCATAGGGATAACACAGACAGGTGTGTATAAGGTACCCACACAGCACTAGGCATACAGCAGACAGTCAACCCATCTTGGCCTCCCTGCCTCTCCTGGCCCCTCACCTCCAGCACTTGCCTACCCTTTCAGTCTCAAGGAGGAATGGCCACAAGGGCAGCCCTGAGTATAGAGCATGAGAACACAGGTGAGTCAGGCCTGCAACAACTCCGAACACAGGAATCGGCAGCTCTGTGGGTGCCAGGCCTGCCACAGAGCTGCCAATTCCTCCGACAAAAGCCCACAACCCGCCCAGAAGATCAGACCTGGGGTGCCCTCGGGCAGGCGGGCTGAACAGCTCAGCTCAGTGTCTTCAATTAGAAGTTTCTGTAACCACAATGAGGTACAAATCAGAGGACTGCCTTCCAAGCCAATTACTCCTGAGTGTCACTCATCTCTCAGGCAGCCAGGGCCGCCTCCATCATCGGCACACGGGGTATGTCCCAACATGTCCTCACGGCCCGGATGAAACAACTCTCAAAACAGCCTGGGAAATACAGGTGAGGACTTCAGCTAAAACATCTCATGAAGGCACGCGGCCTCCCCGATGGAGGGCGTGCCATGTCCCAGGCCCTAGGAGGGTACTGGAGACTCCAGAGGAGGATGACAAGGCACACAAGCCCCTCCATGACCAGCCACTGTTCGTACTCACACCAAGCCCTCCACCTTTGATACCTACAGCTAATTCTAGAAAGTTCCAGAACATTCCAAGCCACTTACCACCCTCTAGCAATTGATCCTCTCTCTATACCAGCCTCCAAGCAAACACGCCCATCCTTCCAAGACCCAACCATGGCATCCCCTCTCCTGCGCCCCCGACCCACACTCTCGCCAGAGAGGGCTGGCTCCACCCACCCTTGTGTGCACAGCACAGGCCACTTACACAAACACAGCTGCACTCCCTGGTTTCGGTGGCCTTCTCCCCACCAAAACAGAAACTCCCTGAGGGCAGAGCTGGGGCTGCAGCTCTTTCAGGTGCCCAATATCCCAGAGGCTCTGAAACACCAAAGGAGGGGTGAGCCTTCTGCTCCAGGGGCACAGGCACCTTTGAGTCACTGCCCAGAAACGCCCACTGTGTTCCCCTTGAACCCAGCAATTACGCACAATACAGCGGCGAGTCGGTGCACCAGTCTCTGCAGCAGCCTCGGCTTAACCATCACTTAGCTGCAGCTTAAAAACCTAATTTGTTTCAGCTCCTAATGATGCGGGTTCATTATGAAAATTATTAGTATTATAATTGGCCATGGGAAAAAGCCTCAATTTGGAGGCAGCCTAAACACTTTACAATAAAGGAATTCTTGCACCAATTATGGAACATTCTAATGATGGAATACAAATCAGTCTTAAAAAATGAAAGAAAGGGCCAGGCACAGTGGCTCATGCTTGTAATTCCAGCACTTTGGGAGGCCAAGGTGGGCGGATCGCCTGAGTCCAGGAAGACAAGACCTGCATGGGCAACACAGCAAAATCCCGTCTTTACAAAAAACAGAAAAATTAGTCATGTTTGGTGGTGCGTGCCTGTAGTATCAGCTACTCAGGAGGCTGAGGTGGGAGGATCGCTTGAGCCCTGAAGGTTGAGGCTGCAGTGAACCGTGATTGCACCACTGCACTCCGGCGTGGGTGAGAGAGAGAGACCCTGTCTCATAAAAATAAATTAATTAAAAATTAAAAGTCTGGAAAGAACAACACTAAAATGTCACTGGAATTAAAGAACTATGGGATTGTTTTTCTTTTGTTTTTATTTTTGAGAAAGAGTCTTGCTCTGTCACCAGGCAGGAATGCAGCGGCACAATTTCGGCTCACGGCAACCTTCACCTCCCGGGTTCAAGCAGTTCTCCTGCCTCAGCCTCCCAAGTAGCTGGGATTACAGGCACACACCACGCCTGGCTAATTTTTGTATTTTCAGTAGAGACAGGGTTTTGCCACATTGGCCAGGCTGGTCTCAAACTCCTGACCTCAAGTGATCCACCCGCCTCGACCTCCCAAAGTGCTGGGATTGCAGGTGTGAGTCATTGCACCCAAGTTATTCTTTCTTTACCTCTGTTTGTACTAGAAAACTGTTCTAAAATAGTCATATAACTTTTTAATAATCAAAGCTTTTTTTTTTTTTTTTGACAGAGTTTCATTCTTGTTGCCCAGACTAGAGTGTAATGGCGTGATCTCAGCTTACTGAAACCTCCACATCCTGGGTTCAAGCGATTCTCCTACCTCAGCCTTCCAAGTAGCTGCGATTACAGGCACCCGCCACCAAGCTCAGCTAATTTTTTTTTTTTTGTATTTAGTAGAGACAGGGTTTCACCATGTTGGCCAGGCTGGTCTCGAACTCCTGACCTCAAGTGATCCACCTGCCTCGGCCTTCCAAAGTGCCGGGATTACAAGCATGAGCCACCTTGCCGGGCCAAAGTTTTTTGGGTTTTTTTGTTTTTTTAAATATTAACAACTTTGACCCGGAAAAACAAACCTTGCTTTTCCTTTACAGTCTCTTGTCAGGTTTTCGCTGCAAATCTGCCCATAGGATCGTGGCTGAGGCACCATGGAATGCTGCTGTTCTACTGGAGATGCAATTTCATCCAAAAGAAAAAGGGAAAAGTATCCAAAAGTCTTTCTAGTCTCAGGGGAATTAGAAAAGCTTCAGAACAAGATCTGCGCTGGCACAAGAATCTGCGTGGCAATCACCCTGCCCAGCTGTGAGCCCTGGGGCAGGTGAGCCCCACACATGGATCTCACTGCAGTTGTGGCCTCTAGGAAGAAGGCCTTGAATGCAGATTTTAAACAGGTACTCAACTCAGACTGAGCTATGGCTCCTAATCGCTACTCAGACCCGGCTACTTTCAACTTAATATGTGAGAAACCCATCTCATCACTGCAGACCTGCTGAAATCTGTTACGACTAATTCTTCAATCCTCACCAGAATGCCTGCTGTCCTGAGAGAAGATGAAAGCCACTGGGTAGCCACAAGGCAGTTATGTCCCCTTCTCTAGGCTCTGTGATTCCGGCAGTTAGAGTGGGTTCAGAAACCCTTATACACGTGATCATATGCTGTCTGTCAACATGTAAAACAGGCCGAGCGTGGTGGCTCACACCTGTAATCTCAGCCCTTTGGGAGGCCAAGGTGGGAGGATCACTTGAGGCCAGGTGTTTGAGACCAGTCTGGGCAACAAAGCAAGACCCTATCTCTGAAAAAAAGAAAAAGAAAAGTAAAACACAGAAATGTGGGGTGTTGTTTTTGACACAGAGGTGGCCTCCATTCCTAATTTTCTTCAAGAGAACCATGAAGCTCCTTTGCAAAATAGGAGAGTTTTCTCTGAGACAGAGTCTCGCTCCATCACCCAGGCTGGAGTGCAGCGGTGCGATCTTGGCTCACTGCAACCTCTGCCTCCCAAGCTCAAGTGATTCTTGTGCCTCAGCCTTCTGAGTAGCTGGAACTACAGTGCACCACACCACACCTGGCTAATTTTTGTATTTTTAGTAGAGACGAGGTTTCGCTATGTTGGCCAGGGCTGGTCTCAAACTCCTGGCCTCAAGTGATCCACCCGCCTTGGTCTCCTAATAAAGTGCTCGGATTACAGATGTGAGGCACTGCGCCCAACTGGAAAACGGGAGAGTTCTGAGAAGTGTGGACTGGAAACCAGTGACAGGAGGTAACTTCTACCTCTTCCCAGCTCTGATTCCACTAACATGGTCTAAACTTTCCAAACTCAACCCACACCACTGTTCAAGTCCTTATTTTCTAAGCTGTTTCTCTTTCGGGTACTTTCCAAGAGGCCTGGGCCTGAAACTCCACACCCCACCAGCTGACACAGTGTGCGTGACCTGGAACTAGAAATGACCTTCTCATAGGGCAGATGGCCACCCACGGGGGACACCTTGTTAGAAAGCCTCTCCAAAGACCTGGGAGAGTTGAATCCTGACACAGACATATCAAAGAAATGTTCTACTTTACTAGAAATTTTGTTTAAAATGTACTAGTTAAAATCAGTGGCTGAGCATGGTGGCTCACACCTACAATCTTAGCTACTCAGGAGGTCGAGGCAAGAGGATCACTTGAGGCCAGGAGGTCAAGACCAGCCTGGGCAACACAGAGAGACCCCCATCTCTATTTATTAAAGAAAGGGGAAAGAAAACAATTTGGTAATATATATCGAGAGGTTTAAAAATGTTCACTTCCTTTGATCCAATAATTAAGACTCTAACTTGAGAAAATTATAGAAGAATTTTGACGTGAAGCTATTCACTACAGCACTGTATTACGTAAAACAGAAGCATAGGGCAAACTCCATAGAAGTCAATAAAATGTTAACAGCTGTCTTTGAGTGGAGAAACCATGGGAGACTTTTCTTTTTTTTTTTCTTTTTTACTTGCTTCTTTTCTTCTTCATACATAGGAGATGTTTTGTTCGACTTCCTTATATATCTGAAATTTTCACATTTTCTAAAATGAGAAAGCATTACTTCTGTTATCAGAAAAAAACTCTCCTGGCCGGGCACAGTGGCTCATGACTGTAATCCCAGAGCTTCGGGAGGCCAAGGCAGCAGATCACCTGAGGTCAGCAGTTTGAGACCAGCCTGGCCAACATGGTGAAATCCCGTCTCTACTAAAAATACAAAAATTAGCACCTGTAATCCCAGCTACTTGG